CGTCCACGGAGGATGCCGGAAGGGAGTGGGCCCAGGGACCTCAGCAGGGAGGTGTGGAGTCTCTTCCTTTTTTGCAACAAAATGGCACAATTGGCCTCGCAGAAACCAGCCTGGTGTCGGTTCCTTTTCAGGAAAGGCGTGATAAGGCAAAAGTTGGATTATCTGGCTGGGTACAGCTGAATCTGAGGTCTAATTGCTGTCAGGAGACCTCTCTGGGCAGCAATCTTTTTATGGAGTAGTATAATCAAGAAATCATGACCAGTCACGCCACTGTAGTTACTATTTTAGCTAAACCAATGATGATGGTATTTCCTTAAACCTCTGTGTGAGCGCTTTCGTTCTGGGATAAGTGGCTTTCCTTTGATTTTTAGTTCTTAATCTCTTCCTAAGCAATGCAGACTCAGTTTAACAAGGTGCTCTTGCACTCACTGATAGCACCTGCCTCCCTCTAGACATAAACATTTATTTAAATTCATGCTGTAGCTAATGCTGGAAGAACTGCACGTAGATGTGTGTTTAATATAAGAAAGCTCTGACCAAGCCCTGTACCGTTCCCTTTCCAGATCGAGGATTTGTCTGATTCGGCCTTCACTGCTCGGCACGGCAAGTGTGAAGAGATGGAGCGGGCCCGGTGGCTTTGGAGCACGAGCATGCCCCCGCAGCGGCGGGGCAGCAGGTACGCCTGCCGGCACGGCTCCTGTGCTGGCAGGGGCTGCCCCAGCGCACCAGCAGCACTCAGATGCAAAGAGGGTGCAGTGGGTTGCTCTCGGCCAAGGTGACGTTCCCCAACAGAGTGGGATGCTCTTGGGAGCAGGTTGTGGAGGCTTCGTTAGATGGGCTGATCCATGAAAATGGTTAAAAGCTTGTGCTGGTATTGGAAAGTTTGATCACCATCCGCAAGAGCAGCTTGTAGGAGTGGGGCGTAGTCTTGCTTAGGTGGGGGTAAAGTTACACACCAGTTAAGTTGCGGACACCCAACTCTTGCCCCGTCTGTTTGGATTCTGCTTTCTCAAGCACTTTCACCGCTCTAGAAGTGTGGAGGCTGGTGCACCAGCCTGGGAGGCCAGAGAAAAACAAAAGGGCTGAGCTGGGCATCCTTCATGCAAGAACAAGGAACAGTGGTTGTTCTCAACGTTATGCTGTCTTACCACATCTCTGCTCGATTGCTTCAGCAATGCCGTTTCTCTGCTCCATTTATATACGTGTCCTTACCTTCCTCTGATCACTTGACGCTTGATTCCCTTTCTGCAGTGTCTTTTTGTGAGTGGGTGTCTAAAACCGCACACAGTTTCCAGCTGTTGATCTCATCATAAACCTGCATAAGAAGAGATTCGCTCTTCTCCATTTGATTTCCGATGCTTTGTTTGGTTGCTCTGCTCTTGGGCAGAAATGTGTGCTGAACTACAACTGCATGCAAACATGCACCCGGTCGTCTTGGTCTGGTTGTGGTTTCGGTTTAGCCCTGTCAGGTGTGTGCGATCGTGCAAGGTTGTTTCTGCGAGAACTTCTGCAAATGCAAAGGTAGCATCTGTCAAATTCCATTTGTGTTGCTGCTGCCTCGTTTCATCTGCAGCCGCATTTCCCAGAGCTGGTGGAGCGTGGGACATTTTGGTGTTTCTTTGCAAACTTCTTCAGCCAGTTTCTCACATCTGATAGCACTTCACCATAACTTTGTTTCTCTAAAGACCCTCTTGTAAGGACGTTGGTGAAAGGTGCTGTGTTGAGGTCCTGGCTTGGTCATCGAGGCGAATTCAAACTTCACCTCATAGGTTTAGAAATGCTGGTGGGAAAGGACTTCCAGAGGTCTCTGGTCCAGCCTCCTGCAGGATTGCTACCAGCAGAAGACCAGGTTGGCCATGGCTTTGTCTGGCCATGACATGAACGCTTCCAAGGATGGAGATTCCCCCAGAACTGGGGCCAGTATTCCAAGTGCAGCTCCCCAGCAGGGAGAGACGGGGATGTAAGTGTCCCTGGTCCGCTGGCCGCGTTCCTCAGCGCAACCCAGGACGTGGTTTGCTGCGTTTGCGCTGAGAGTGACTTGGCCAAGTTCAGCTTGGCCATCGCCACATCCCGAGCTCCTCCTCAGCAGGATCCTTGCTCGGTCCCTCAGTTCCCAGCCTGGGCTGATGCAGGGGTTGTTCTCCGCGGCTGCTTTAGTCTTTCTTTAGAAATGGTTGGAGCCCCTCATGGCCTGGTAGCTTCTTGTTGCTGTGATTCAGCCAGTACCTTGCTCCTTGCCTGTGGAGTCCCTGGGCCAGGTAATAACCGGTAAACACCGGGGTAAACGCGCTTAGTTTCCCTTAAATGTCATTCTCTCTGTGACCCGCTCCAGCAGATCTGCCGAGCGTCTTGTGGTCTTCCTCCCGCACGTACGTAACAGATTGGTTTGGTTTTTTACTGTAGCAGCTTTTAAATTGCATCTTGACTCAGCACATTGACCCCGTCTAGCTTGCTGCGGGTGCAGCTGCTTTATTAGTCTAATTGGGGCTGGGTTTGTATGTTCTGATGAACGTTTCGGCCAAGGTGGATTTTGGAATCTGATCCTTGGCAGTCCTCGATTGCCACTTGCTGTTGCAGTTCGTCTTGAAGAGCTGCACACAGACGTGGGGACTCCAGTTAAGTTTCTCTGTTTGCAGCCTGTGGGTGTTTTAGCTGGGAATCTGTAGGTGCTCAAACTTTCTTAATTCTTGGTTTAAATCTTCTGAAGTCTAGGGGTTTTACAGTGCTCCTCCTACGCCCAACTGTTGAACTTGCTGCATTTTCAGCACTAGTGATTCACTACGCTTGGTTCTTGAACCGCCTGGTGTCACGTGGCGTGCGGATGGTGGAAACGCTTGGAGAAACCGATTTTGAAGTGTCTGATTTCATAGGGTGGCTCCTCATCGTGGTATTTATGCAGCACTCGCAGCGTAGGAGATGTGTGGGACACGTAACCTTAGGAGAGCAGCGTCAGCGCTGCAAAGCTGCATCGAGACAGCGGAGATGGGACAAAGATGAGCCTGGATGAGTTTAACCTCTGGGCTGCGGCATTCCCTGCTTGTGTGCGCACCAAATCCCCGTGGCGTTCCCCACCGTACGGCTGCTCCCGAGGAGGGGGCGGTGGAAGGGATCGTAGGGTGGCAGCGAGTGGCCTGAGCTCCTGTATCGGT